ATATATATATATAAATATTAAAATAAACTACTACTTGTTACCATATTTTTTTGGCCTATAAGTCACAGGTTTTTTGCATAATTTACATGCTCTGCGACTTATAGGCCGAAGCGACATATTTATGGATTTTCCCATATTTATAAACCGTTTTTTGGCTGAGATATGACGTTTCAATTCATTCTGACGGAAAAAAAATTGAGCAGTACCACTTTCAGCCACTTGATGGCAACAGAGTAGTAATAGCTGTATGGCATGCTGTTGTATCACGTAATAGGTAAACGTTGCTGTAATGACAAATTCAAAAAAGTTCAAGACAAAAACAACTGGACTTTGTTTATTATACTTTATTGTTTTTCTTTAACTTTTTTGAATTTACCATGTCCTGGATGACTGAGAATCTTCACCAGCTATTAATGATACAGTCGGCCTGCCATAGCTCTCCACCTTCATTCTGCTCGCTGCTTGGAACCATCAAACCATCTGCACCGCACCAGCAAAATGCAGCTGATTTGACCATTAAAGTAACCTTATTAAGCAAATGTTACTGAGACACACCTTTACTATTATTTCAAGCAAACAAATAATTGTTTTTAAGTGTTAATCTTGTTAAAATCATGTTAAAGTCCTCTCGTGCACGCTCCCACGACCGGCATTTGGCTGCTGTAAAATATGGTAATTGTTCTAATATTCCTACTTCGCGGTTTTTCACTTATCGCGAGTCTTCTGGGTGCGGATCCCCCACGATAAACGAGGGACTACTGTGTAAGGCTCACTGTTGATTATTGGGAAAATTAAAGGATTATAATTGCGCCTTGTAGCACAAAAACTACGGTAATTCAGCAAATATGTGTTCTTTCTGCTTTCTTCTGCTAACTTAGGCTTGTTCTTCCATTTCAGCTAAAGTTCAGCAAGTTTTGTAGCTAATTTCAGCTGTTTCTTAGCAAGTTCTTCAGCAATAAGCATTCACACTGCAAGGAAATGCAATTTGTCTAGTTTTATTTGCTTTACAGAATAATTAGTAAAGCAGCTCAGTGTTTGTTAGGAATAAGTGTGCTTCTTAAGCAGCGCGGTGTTTTTAAAGACCGGCTTGTGTTTAGTGTTTGTTGTGCTGAGCGTCGGGTAGAGAATGTTTACTGAGCGTGTCTCACAGGAAGGAGCTTCAGTCAACAGATAAACAGAGTGGAGATGACACGATCTGTGGTTTCCTGTGTGAGGGACGGTCCCTCCCTCTGATCAGAGCTGTGGTTCAGGAGGGAACGAGCTTGAACATTAACAGAAGCAGTCGTGATAGTTTGATGATTGTCTCTTTCCTCTCCACAGTGAGAATGAACTTCCATCCTACGACTCACTGCAGGAGAAGGTGAGGATGCTCTGCTCCTTTTTTATATATAAGCAACAGAAAACAACAAAAATAGACACAAATATTAGTTTTCAGCATAAAAACATGAAGTCTTGTTGACGTACACTCTGAGGAATTATAACAGAATCGTGACTGTCATTGTAGCAGATGTTTAAACGGAGTCCCTGAGGCTCAGTGGGATTAACCTGTCTAAATAAAGTTTGAATCAAAACTAAAAAAGTGGCCTAAACATAATATTTAAAATCACAAGGTTTATCATGATGATGGGGACAGGACTAAACAAAAGGACTAAATAGTTGTTTTTTCAAGCTGCTGCAGAGGAAGTTGTTGTTCTTGTTCACGTCTCTCCTGATCTCTGCAGCAAAAACACCTGGAGGTGGAGAGGACCAGCAAATGGCTGAAGATGCTGAAGAGCTGGGACAAGTACAAGAACAGTGAGAAGGTGATGTCATCCTCCCCCGTCACTCATGCACCAGCTGATACAATCTGTGTGAGCGCCTCTGCTCTTTGCAAAATGTAGCAGCCGAACAAAAGTTTGTCTGAAGGAAATCTTATGGAGCATCGTTACGATTAAAAATAGTTTGCTCAAATGACTGGAGGTGGCTAAAGATTGATCTATGGTGGTCAAGGCCACCGTTGGCCACCCCCTGGCTCCACCCCTGCTCCTGTCGGTGGATGATATAGATCCCTCTGTTTGTCAGGACTCATCCCTCTGTTCTCCTGTGTGGGTCACTTTCCTTCAGTGAAGTGTTTTTCTGCGTGTGGAACGAAATAAACACGACTGGATTTAATTCCCATCATTTATTTATTGGCTGCAAGTCCATCAGTGAGAGGGCTTCTGGGTAATTTATCATTTAATTCTCCTCAAATGGTCTCAGAGTTGTTGTCGGTGGTTTGAATACTTGAATATTTACCGTAGTTTTCTTCAAATGTAAAAGACAAAATCTGTATTTTGGCCTCTGCTCAGGACGCCGGCTAAAGAAAGTGTTGCTGTTCTGTGCAGACGAATCGTTTACTTTGAGGAAAATATTCAATATATTTACAGCAGTCCCTGGATTATCGCAGGGGTTACGTTCCAGACATCACAGCGATGGGTGAAAAACCATCAAGTAGGAACGTTATATTTATTTTAGTATTTTTATATACTATTCCCACATTCTTGTAATGTTCTCAACTCTTAAACTTGTGTAATTTTAACAACATAAAGAATTTACTCAGCAGCTCTGCAGACCAGCAGCTTGGTTCTGGTTCTGCAGACCATCAGCTTGGTTCTGCTTCTGCAGACCTCCCTGCAGCAACCAAGTCCACTGCCCCAACCAGGTTGATGTGCACGTGGATGATTGAGCTTCAGGAAACTTTAGGACTGTCTTCATTGCAAAACTTTCCCTCGGTAGCCCCGGTAGGGCTTGAATCAACTAGTCGACTCTAGGACGTCTTGTGAGTTTTTATATTTCACATTGACTAGTCGCAGTCGCAGTCCCCACTGTTCCTGCCTGTTTATTTTTTTATGTGCCGCACGTTTCTTTCACTTTTGCAGCTTCATAATAGTTTTGGTTTTCCTGTTACTTATTTGCAGTATGATAAATGGTAGGAGCAAAAATATACACTGGATGTTTTTTTTTTTGTTTTTTTTTTTTTACTTTTTTAAAATAATGACCTTTTATTTTTGCGTCTTGAGTTCCTATGATGTCATCGACTAGTCGACGGCGACTTTTATCATGATAAGTCAACTTTAAAAATTATGTTGTCATTATAACCCCTAGAAGCCAGAAGCACTGTTGGCTTATGGGTAGTGTAGTTCTTTTGACTTGTGTTACAGCTTGCTTATTGAAAGAAAACTACAAAATGGCGGCGCCTGTCCAGTTATATTCTTTTCATTAACTTTTTATTCCGTACCGTCCCAGTCACGTGAGGAATATTGAGGTTGACAGCCGTGTGTCGTTTACAATCTTACTTTGGAAAACTGTGAAAAAACGAGTCTGCGATGTAGCGAGGGTTCTTTATACAAACATGGAGCTGGAGCTTCCTGTGACTGCAAACAAAAGCAAAAAGAGCAAAGATTCAGTGTAAATGTTGACACGAGTGTGTACACACACACACACACAGTTGAAGGATGATTAGCCCAACAGATGCACTGATTGACTCGCTCATCAGAACCTAATTACAAGACTATTGCTGCAGCAACTAGTGGGTCCCACATGTGCCGGGAGGCTGATGTAGTTCACACACACGTCATTAATCCTGAGACGACACACACAATCGAAAAGCTGTGAACCGGTCTACAACACACACACCTTGTGAAGCAGAGGCGAGGTTACTGATCTGATTTACAGCCCCCCCCCCCCCCCCGAGCTGCTTCATCTCACACGACTCAGCAGAATGAGCTCAGGTTAGAAACTGAAACGACGCTAACGTCTGCAGTTCAGTGGCCAGCAGCACGAGGCGTTGCTCCAAGCAGGAAGATTATTGGAGTCTCTCAGCGTCCACATCTTTAACCAGATGTTTGGATCCATAGTTTGTGTGCGGGAGATAAAACGTGTCGGTCCTGCAGCAGCTGTAGCTGCTGCTGGTGTTCTTACCAGGATCTCTCCAGCCCTAACTCAGTCTGTTTTGCACATGCTGAGTTTGGTGTGGTAGTAGCTGAGAGTCGTCCTCAACACCTGGTGTTAAACTGTTTTTATTGCTTCTTGACTCGGCTCTGACTTGTCTAAAACGTGCTGACATGTGGAGTCCAAACATCTGGTTTCAGCAACATCTTTGTTTTCTACATTAGTTGGTCCACAGGGAGCTCCTCCTGCTCTGCCGCTCCTTCAAGCTGGGCTACAGTTAATCAGCAGCTACGATTAGCTCCGCTGCTGATCTTCTTCCCTGCAGTCTGACTGGTTCTCCACCTCTCTGCTTCTGCTCCCAGTCCCTGCTGGAGCTCATCCAGCCCAGGTGCTCCAGGTTCAGGCCTTCGCTGCTCGAGGAGGCGGCGCTCACAGCGGGCACCTCTGACACACCGAGGGCCCGTCCTTTCTACTCTGAGCCTCCGAACATTTGTCTGCTGCAGTCCTTTATTTTACCAACTGTGATGAACCAACGAAAACCTGGGAACAAATATAACGTTAATATAAACTAATTAATATTTCTTTATGGAACTGATAAGAGCTGTAGTTTAGCTGTTTTAGCTTGTTAGAAGGTCAGCAGATCTACTTAATACAGTAACAGGTTGAGCTGCCGGGAGGTTCATGTTTATCAGATCATTACAGGGAGCCTTCAGAGGTTCTCAGTTTCTCTGAGGTCTTTGAGCGTTCCTTGTTTGACTTTTGCATATTAAACAAGTGCAAAGTAGTTACAGTCGTCTTCAGAGCTTCTCATACACCTTCAGTCTCGTGTCTGTCCAACCCGTCTCAGAGCTGTTTATAAAAAAATACACAGATGATACGTAAGAATAAATCCTGTTTTGATAAAACTGCACGCCAGTAGATTCAGTGTTGTGCCAAAAATTGATTGGCTGTCAAATGGCGGCTGCGGGACTTATAACAAGAATTTATCAAAATTAACAGTTAAAAACAATTAGTTGTTTGCTCGACATTATAGTAAAGGTGTGTCTCAGTCCAACTTTTCTTTAATAAATGCACTTTGACAGTCAGATCAGCTGCATTTCTCCTGGGCAGTGAAATGCAGCTGATCTGACATTTGCTCCTGAAGTTCCAGCGCGAGACAAAGTTGAGTTGGTATGGCAAGACAAGTGTGTCATTAATAGCCACTTTTACCTATTAATGACACACTTGGCTTGCCATATTAGTTGAAGGCGCTCTAGTGGCTGAAAATGGTAGTGTTCAATATTTTCCATATCTGATTGAATGAAATTGTCAGATTTCAGGCAAAAATTGGATAAATATGTGGAAAAAACGTCAATATGTCTCTTTGCTGTATAAGTCGCAGGCATGTTGATTTATGCAAAAAACTGTGACTTTTACAGTGAAAATTATGGTGAATAAAAACATGGATGTGCTGAGTGATGCTACACACGAAAACAGGCCATAAGTTTTAAAATTCACTCAAAGTTGTGCTTATAATTAGACTAAATGATGTTTTTGCACATATTTAAGTACCGACATGTATCGAATCCTTTCTAACGTCGTGCTCTTGTCGTTTGTCCTTCCAGCTGTTTCGCAGGATCTATAAGGGAATCCCTCTGCAGCTGCGGGGGGAGGTGTGGTGTTTGCTGCTCGACGTTCCCAAAATAAAAGAGGAGAAGCAAGATTTCTACGAGGTACCTCTTCATTCAGAGCCGTGGTTTTATGTGCGATCACGCAGCTTTGCGTTTGTTTCCATTCCTTCTATCAAAACATCGGTGTCTTTGGCCGGGGTGATGAGCTGAGCCCGCAAAGCAAACCATGTAGAAAAAAACAACTTTGGGTGGGAAATAAAGAGAAGTTGTGCCTGTGGAGCGGGGAGGGTATGTGGATAATTTATCTTCTATGAAAGCAGTTCAGTTTCTTTAGGAGTCTTTAGTTCGTTTAAGATTCAGAATTAGCCTTTTATGTTTAATTATTTATAAAAACAGATGTAGAACATCAGGTTTTACAGTCTTTTACACTTTTTTTGTGTTAATTCTTCTCAAAACCTTCTTTGCCATTCTCTTATCTCAATTAGACTACCGTGTTTTCTGCATAATTTACATGCCCTGCGACTTATCAGCCGAAGAGACATATTTATGGATTTTATCCTCATATTTATAAACCAGTTTTTGGCTGAGATATGACCGTTTTCATTCATTCTGACTGAAAAGAAAAATACCACTTTCAGCCACTAGATGGGAGCAAAGTAGTAACAGGATATGGCATGCTGTTATATCATGTAATAGGTAAAAGTGGCTATAATGACAAATCCAAAAATGTTCCAAGACAAAAACAGCTGGATTTTATTTATTATACTTTATTGTTTTTTATGTTTGTTTTTTTTATTTACTAATTTACTATTTAATTTCCTGGATGACTGATAATCTTCACCAGCTTTTAATGATATAATCGGCCTGCCATAGCACTCAACCTTCATTCTGCTCGCTGCTTGGTGCAACCATCAAACCAGCCACGCTGCCCAGGTGAATTTCAGCTAATTTGACCATTAACGTGCATTTATTAAGTAAATGTTAGACTGAGACACACCTTTGCTATAATTTTGAGCAAACAATTGTTTTTAGGTGGTTATCTTGTTAAATTTTAAAGAAATGCATCTGCGCATGCACGCTTCGCAGCACCCTAGCAGTGAAACCATTAAAGTGCATTTTTTAAGGAACAGTTCAATTGAGACACACCTTTGATATAATTTTGAGCAAACAAATTAATTGTTTTTAAGTGTTAATATCTTGTTAAATTCTTGTTAAAAGTCCTTCCGTGCACGCTCCCACAGCCACCATTTGGCAGCCATTTGATTTTTGCACACCGGCCCACATTTCCAGGTTGTCAGTGGTGACACAAAAGATGCGACGCGTACGTCAGAAAATACGGTAGATAAAACTTTATTGATCCCTTGGGACGTTCCTTCAGGGAAATTAAAATCTCATAAATAAACATTTTACTTTAATCACTTGTCAACTATAGAGATGTTTAAGACGTAAATCAACAATCTATAGATCTACACTCACCGGTCGTTTTATTAGATGCACCTTGCTGGAACTGGGTCTGACCCTCTTCTGCCTTCAGAACCGATTTAATTCTTTGTGGCAGAAGATCCAACAAGATGTTGGAAACATTCCTCAGAGAATTTGGTCCATATTGACATCGCTCAGATTAGTCAGCTGCACGTCCATGATGCGTCTTCTGTGTAGCTTTAGCTGACAGGAAGTGTCACCCGGCGTGCCTTCGGCTGCTGCAGTCCATCTGCTTCAAGGCTGGATGACTTCTGCAGACCTTTGTTTCAACGTGTGTCTGTTTGTTCTCCGACATCATCGAGGATTATTTTGTTATCCAAGCTGCTGCTCACTGGATGGTTTCTCCTTTTTGGACCATTCGCTATAAACCCCTGAGATGGTTGTGTGTAAAAGATCCCAGTAACTCATCAGTTTCTAGAACACTCCGACCAACAGGCAGCACCAACCACAACACATCTACCGGCCCAAAGGCTGGCCTGAGTGGCTGCTCAGATAATGAACGTGTTTCAGTAAAGCTGTTACACTAGAGGTCACCAACTCAAATGGAACAAAGTAAACCTGCAGCTTCATGAGTCTGAAGCTACATAATGTTTCTCCACCAGTCAGGAGTTGTTGCAGGACCCTGTGTTGTCATATTTTGAACCCAGGAGGAGGAACGTTTGAGCAAATACACTAAAAACTGTCAGACAACTTCCTGTGGTGAGCAGATAGTCTGTTCATGTAATCATTTGGTTTAAGCTGGACAAGGTGAACGTACATTTTCTTGTAATTTTGTGTCTCCAACTTGTCACCAACAGTTACAGCCTTTTGATTTTAGTAGGTTGTACTTAATACAAGTCAAAACTGTGGATATTGTGTTTCCAGTTTAGATTGTGGACTTCCTGTGAAGGCAGGAAAAACTGATTACTGACGAGGAAATGAATGCGTTTCAGTGGAGACGGGTTTCCCCCACAAAAACATGCATGTTAGGCTGATTGGTAACACTAAATTGTCCCTAGGTGAGAGACAGAGTGAATGGTTGTCTCGTTTGTGTCCCAGTGATGGACAGGAGAGCTGTCCAGGTGTACCTGAAAGACAAAAAACACATGTTAAGGATAGAAAAGATAATTACAAATGCTAAACAGGCTGAGCAGAGTAAGTAAAGAAAAGCATAGTGGAAAAAACGTGGTCAGTTTGTCCTCCAGCAGTCTAAGCCTGTAGCAGCACAACTAAGGGACAGCTCAGGAAACCCAAGCCGACCCTAACTATAGGATTTATCAAAAAGTAAAGTCTTAATCCTAGTTTTAAAACTGGACAATGTGTCAGCCTCATGGACAGAGACTTGGGAGTTGTTTCCACAAGAGAGGAGCCTGATAACTGAAAGATCTGCCTCACATTCTGCTTTTGGAAACTCTAGGAACCACAAGTAAACCTGCAGTCTGAGCGCAAAGTGCTCTGTTAGGAAAATATGGAACAATAAGAGCTCTAATATAAGATGGAGCCAGGTTGTTGAGGGCTTTGTAGGTTAGAAGTAAGGTCTTGAATTATATTCTGGATTTGACAAGGAGCCAATGGAGAGAAGCTAACTGGAGAAATATGATCTCTCCCAGTAACTCCAGTTAAGACTCTGGCAGCAGCATTTTGGATCAACTGAAGACGTTTTAAAGAAGTATTTGGACATCCAGATAATAAACCATTGTAATAGTCCAGTCTAGACGTGGCAAATGCATGGACCAGTTTTTCTGCATCATTTTTAGATGTTTCTAATTTTAGTGATGTTACGCAGGTGGAAGAAGACGGTTCTAGTAACGTTTTTAATGTGGGGGATAAAAGACCTGACCAGTGACCCCTGCAACCTGAAAAGGAAGAAGCGGATAAAGATAATGGGTGGATGGTTTGCAGCTAGACCCCATCACTTAAACCACTGATGGATGTTATGATTATTCTAATCAAGAATAATTTAGATCAGACACCGACACCCAGCTTGCATAAAATAATTATTAATGATATAAACTTTGTAGATAAAAAATGCAATAATATAGTTTTGAGAAATCTTTTAATGGACGAGATCTATCCTGGGTCCTCCAAAAGAACATATCAATAAAAAAAATACTTTAACAAACAAGAAATTACATCAATCAGAACTAAATTTTTGAAATTCCCAATCCCTCCTGAAGTGAAAGAAATCCGCTTTAAAATGGTAAATTAAATTTAACCTTCACAGGAGTTCTTGAAAAAGAATATTCAATTTTAAAATGGAGAATTGTTATTTTTGTAAATCTTTGTTGGAATCAACAGAACATGTTTTACTAATGTGAGATTGTAAGTGGTTTTTGGAAGGAGTTGCATACTGGTTGATATCCAAGTGTCTTCAAATAGCTTTTTTTTTTTCTTGGAAAGAAATCAGATTTGGAATTTTATTAAAGAATATTTGATCAATAATATTATAATGTTTGCCAAATTCTACATTCATAAATGTCGTTTCACCAAAGCTCTTATTGTAAAAGCGTTTAAAAGTGAGTTTATCATTTGGTAAATCTTTTTTTAATTAAGACGGCCCCTGCTATCAAAATGTTTCAGAGTTTAAGTTGTTATAAACCCCAGGATTTACTTTAATTTTTACTTGTTAAATTTTAAAGGTATTATTTCCTGAAGTTTTCTGTTTTTTTAATTTATTTATTTTTTGTTTATAATAACAAAGTAATACTAATATGCAATATTCTTCGAAAAAAAAATTGATAGGGAGGTTTAGCTGAAATAGATTAGTTAAATGTGAAATTGTTGCTGCTTTTTGTTTGTTTTAAAGAATAAGAAAACAAAATCACTGATGGCATTTGTGCCCCCTCTAGTGGCAACTAAAGACATTTGACCAACTATTTACAAGTTGGACAACAAGCTAAAGAGCTGTTTCTTACTCTTGGAGTCAGGTGTTGTGGCGCAGAGTTAAAACATTTTACACAGGCTCAAGAGATTTTCCTGTTTGTTTCTAAAACTGTTCAACAAACTGGATATAAGACTTCAAAGTGAATGAAGACCGGGACTTGTCAAAGAGATGAAGCTTCTTCTCCAACACTCTGCAGAAAGGAGCTGATCAGGTTCATGTTTAGCTTTGGTTTGCAGACGTCTTGTTAGAAACTGTGACTGCGACAGTACTCCGTTATTAATGTGACTGTTAACCTTCTGTGGTGTTTAGAAGCTGAAAGCCAGAGCCAGAGTGTTGTCGCCCGACGTCCGGCAGATCGACCTGGACGTGAACAGAACCTACAGGGACCACATCATGTTCATGCATCGCTACGATGTCAAGTGAGTGTTTGCACGTTCTCCTTCATACGTCGGGCCATGTGTCTGTTTTTAAAATAGTAACAGTTCAGCTTGTTTGAGGAAGACGTTCATTTCATATTTCCCTCCATGTTTCACATCAAAACAGAACTAAAATCTGTCAGCGATGATGGCAGCACTAAACTGAACCTTTATTCGCCTCCTGTTTTCAGGCAGCAGGCGCTCTTCCACGTCCTCACAGCCTACTCCATGTACAACACGGTGAGTGTAGAACTGAACCTCGTATGAAAACACAGCTGCCTATGATGATGTATGAATCACTGCTTCACCTCAGTGGCTCAGAGCTTTAAGTCCAGCTGTCTGAATGAAGCCTTCATATTCTTGGGGCTGCGGTGGCTCAGTGGTTGTGATCCTAAAGCTGCAGGTTTGAGCCCAGCTTGTGTCAGAAAGGGAATGTTGATTCACTTGCTGTGGTGTCCGTCGTGGTAATTCTGGTTTGAGCATGTTTAACGAAGCATTTGTTCTTGTGCAGTATATTAATTTTTCCTAACGTAACATCTTTACAAGTCAGCCCGGCTGATACAGACATGTTGTCCTTCACTCATGCCAGCAACAGAATCAGCTTTATTGTCATTGCACAGAAAATTGGGAGAGGAGAACTAAAGCTGATAATGTCTGAAAATGTTTGAGCTTTAGCCCCAAGAATCTAAGTAAACAGCTACTTTTAAACCTGATTTAACACTTGTTACAAAGAAAAGAATAATCCAGGTATACAATCCAACATTTTTCAGTTTGTTGTTTGTTGTTGACTTTGTTGTTTTCAACCAATATGACGGGGCCAGCAATGGAGGAGGGGACGTGCCAAAGACACTATTTTATCACAACATAACTGGTTTGTTCCTGTTGGGGGAAGAATCAGTTTTGTGTCGTGTGTTTCTTTGACTGATGAAGCCTTCTGGATCGAAGGCGAAACGTTTCAGCACAAAAAAAGGTCCAGATGACCTGACTGAAAAATGTTGGATAAGAACGTCTTAATATTTTCCCTTTTTGAAATAATTTTACTGTCAGAAGTACAGTTCTTACATGGAAAGTACAAAAAAAAAAACATTAATAACGTAACATTCTGTTTACTGGTGAACTGAGTCCTTCTTAAAAAGGTCTTTATGCTTTTATAATATTTAATAGTCAATCATGATTACCACTAGAACAAAACTGAATAAGTTACAACCTTCTCCAAGAACATCCTCGGAGTAGTCCCACACTGCAAGCTTCTTTTGACATCTGTAAAAATAAAATAAGAAAATGACTAAGACAGTTATTTACATATAAAAATAACAAATCTGCCTGGTTTGGCAATTGTGGATTGTACGTTTTTAGACTAGAATTAATTTAAATGTTGACTCGGTAAGAAAGCTTGTAATTTTTCAATACAGCTCGTTTATAAAGTAGTAAAGTGTTGGTGTATGAAGTAGCACTGATATGTGTGGGATACTTTGCATTATGTAGTGGCCAGTGAATAATATAAGAATAGTTATTGATGAGCAGACCAGCATCATAAAATGATGGAATGTGGGTGGTTTGATTTGCAGAGGGCAGTTTTCCTCTTCAGGGGACGAGACGCTGCTCTAGCCCTTTCACACACACGACACTGATGTTTGGGGGTGACTGCATGATTTGTGTCATACTAGGAGGGGCTTGTTTATTTAGCGCAGCTGTTAGCCGCCATGAAACCTGTGGTCCCACAGTAGGTTTACAAGTGGTGCACTGGTCTTCTTAACGTGCATTCACATTTTCTATCATCCACTATTCACCATAAAGTTATCAAGTGTGTTACAAAACCATAAATGAAACAGACACAACCTTCTCTGTTCGTTGTTTAAACAGTCGGTCACGTTTGATGAAGATCTAATTAGTATTGACCACAGCAGAGATGATGTCAAACAATGCATTTAATTCAGGAAGACAAAAATAACTTTACTAACACCGATATATATTTTATCTCCGCTTTAAATTTATTGTTCTGGATAAAGTTTTTACAATGCTAGGTTAGCTAAACGTTAGCTTGCTAACTTGACAGTAGAGCTGCTATTTCTAACCAGGACCAAAATATTGTGCTTGATGGGCAGTTTGGGCTTTTCATAGGGTTTTACGAATCATACAGCACAAAGAAAACTAAATAAAAATGTTCAATATAAAATTGGGTTAATCTACTTGTTGAGGAGGCGGCAGGTCCTACTGGCGGGTTTAAAGGGTTAAAAAATAAATAAAAGTCCAGTTAAGCTTGAGATGGATCGGCTGCGCGCACCCTGCTGTCATCTGCAGTGAAGGAAGTAGCAGCATCTACAAAATCTGAAGCGAGCAGCACGTTCAATTAAAATAGCCTTGTTCTATATTTTTCCAAATAATTTTACTCTAAAATAATTTAGTTAATCTGTATAATGGCCTATCTTTACAGGTTATTTGTTTAGGTTATGTTAATATCCATTTGGTGACTTGTTAAAAAACAAGAAATCTTATAACTTCCTTTCTTTGAAATACATTTTTAACATATGTCAAACTGAAAGCTTAATTTAAATTTTAAAAAGTCTTTTTCTTGGGTGGGCCTCTAATTACAGTTAAATGTCTGGGGCCAGGCGTTTTAGGCCCAAATGTAACTCTACTTGAGAGGCACGTTGGAGGCTGAAGAGGATTTATAATTGTTTTGTTTTACGTTTCATCAAACTACACTACACAGTGTCGCTCCTGCTTCATCTGCTCTGAAAGTGAAACCTCACGACCATTACTTGAAAGTAGTCTTCATGCGCCCCCTGCTGGTTCCAGCATTTTAGAGATGAAAATTAGAAGTGATTATATCAGCAAATAATGGGACAATTATTGATATGATGGGTCCCGAAACGTCTATATCGGTCGGGCTTTAGTATTTAGCATCTACCAACAAGTGTGTAATAATTTGAATGTATGATCATTTAGTATAAATGAACAAAAATATTAGATTCAAAGAACCACAGTCTTCTCTGAACTTTTATTGCTAACATTTGGTTGAAACAGTGTCGGACTGAGGCTCCACCCATCACTACCTGAATGTTTAATGAATTAGTACAGAATGCTTGTTGTACTGTAAAAGTAAATTTTACACCAAGTTGTCTTATTATTTTTGAATGTGCACAATCATAAATGCATAAATGTTAGAGGATATTACCTCAACAGTCTGGTGCTAAACCGTAATGTGATGTGAACGAGTCCTTGTGTTGTCATGGTGTGAATGTGAAGAAAGGGTTAAAGTAGTGGCTGTGTGTGTTTGCAGGAGGTGGGCTACTGTCAGGGTATGAGTCAGATCACAGCTCTGCTGCTCATCTACATGAACGAAGAGGACGCCTTCTGGGCTTTGGTCAAACTACTGTCCGGGCAGAAACACGCCATGCACGGTAACGGTTCTCACCTGTTCTACTTGATCCTCCTGTCGACAAGAGGAGGTCCAGTTAACAGACTGAAACGAGCAGAACTCAAAGTAAAGAAACGAGCCTGAATGGCTGCTGAAGTTTCTACATATGGTCAAAGTACCTGCAGCCAAGTCCGTGTCTGAACACAGATTTGGAGCTTGATTTCAGCTTTATTGGTGGAAAAACATATTTTATTAGTGATGATGATGATGATGATGATCTTACCTGTCTTAGGGTTTTTTGTTCCTGGTTTCCCCAAACTGATGCGTTTCCAGGAGCACCACGACCGAATCCTAAAGAAGATGATGCCCAAACTGAAACAGCACCTGGTGAGACGCAGTTCTGTTTCAACACCTGAACCTCACTACACTTAATCTGACAATAAATAAACTAGTTGTAGATGTGACTCACTGATCAGACGTTTTGTTGCTGCAGGACCACCAAGAGGTGTTCACCAGTCTGTACACCATGAAGTGGTTCTTCCAGTGCTTCCTGGACAGAGTGAGTACATCAAAGTCCAGCTGTGAGTCCATGGAAACGGTTAAAAGTCAAAGAATAGCTTAAATTCATACGTTTCTTTATTTATATGCTGTTTGAAATTCACCCCTTCTATCACTTTTGTACTCGTTTTAAAATAATGAATTAATGTTGTGTCCACTCCTAATGTAACATCTTCACAAGATCAGCCAGTCAGAAGCTCTTGGCAGACATCTTGGTCTTTAAACATAAAAAAAAATCTAACAAAGACAGTTATTAGGGTAAGTTGCTGGTAACAGATCAGATGAAAATGGGTTCTTTGTTAGAAGCTGGCAACACTGGTTCCTTAAGTTCAGGGTTTTCAACACCCACTGATTCAAAGTGGCCAACTACTTGCACATATAGGCGATTTGTGACATGTGAAAACACCTAATTACTTAAATAACTGTACATTTATAAAGCTTTTTACTTAATGACGTCGCCATTTTTGAAGGACTGCAATGCATTCTGGGGCGATGACATACACAGGTTGCAGTTGAGGCTAAAGTTACGATGTATGACAATGAGGTCATAATGTATTGGCCCCTCTACGTTTACCCAGAATGCAGTGCCCAAAGCTGTGCAATGCTGGTCCTAAAGGGCCATACCCTGCATGTTTTACATGTCTCTGCTCCAACACACCTGATTTAAATCACTGAATGATGAACAGCCTTCTGCAAAACATGAAGAGGTGACGCAACCACTTCATCAGGTGTACTGGAGCAGAGAAACAAAACATGCAGGATGTATATGTAGAGAGATTTTCTCTGAACAGTGCCTGTAACCCCACCTCCCAAAAGAGACGTGCATCAGGCTACACACGTGGACTAAACTGTTGGTGAAAGAAAAACCCACAATGATCACAGAATTTTTTTTTTGAAAATGAACAAATGAAAGTCAGACATTGCTTTTCAACCATGCTTCAACAGAATTATTAAAAAAAATTAAACTCTTGAAACAGGCCTGGACAGAAATGATGTCATCCTTAACTTAATGTTTTGTTTTGAGACAACCAAACGGTTCCTGTAACGGTCAGTGAGACGTGTGCACCTCTCAGCAGGCGTTGTGACCCACTCCTCATGAGCAACCTGCTCCACTCGTCTCAGCTCCTTCCAAAGATGCTCAATAGGATTTAGGTCAGGGTTCATAAAAGGCCACTTTGGTCATTATCCTGTAGCAAGACCCATGACCTGCGACTGAGACCAAGCTTTCTGACACTGGGCAGCACATTTCTCTCAGAGTCTTAAGATTTCATCGTGTCCTGCACAGATTCAAGACACCCTGTGCCAGATGCAGCCCCAGAACAGAACAGAGCCTCCTCCATGTTTCACAGCAGGGACAGCGTTCTTTTCTTGATACGTTTCTTTTTTTTTTTATCTGTGAACATGAAAAAATAGTTCAACTTTTGTCTCATCTGTCCGTAGGACATTCTCCCAGAAGCTTTGTGGTTTGTCAAATTCCAGTCTGACTTGTTTATTATTTGTTTTCAACAATGGTGTCCTCCTTGGTCGTCTCTCATTAACGACGACAGATGATGCGAGCTGACGCTGATGTTCACCTTTAATCTCTTCAGAACTTTGTCTGGGCTCTTTTGTTACCATTCGTGTTATCCGTCTCTTTGATTTGTCATTAATTTTCCTCCTGCGCCCACGTCCAGGGAGGTCCCATGGATCTTACATTTCTGAGAATATGTGCCACTGTAGTCACAGGAACATGAAGCTGCTCGGAGATGGTCTTATAACATTTAACATGCTTATCTATAATTTTCTTTCTAATCTCCAGAGACAACTCTTCCCTTCTCTTCCTCCGGTCCATGTTGAGTGTAGTACACACCGTGTCACCAAACAGCACAGTGACTACCTGTAGCCTGGCCCACTGACTGATTACAAGATTGTAGACACGTGATGCTAGTTAGTGGACACTTTAATTTAACATGTTCCTTTGTTCACATTATTTTCAGAGGTACCATCATTTCTGTCCAGGCCTGTTTCAAGAGTTTAATTTTTTAATTAATTCTGTTCAAGCAATGTCTGACTTTCATTTCTTCATTTTCATAGAATTTTTTATCAGATTCAAGTTATTTCTGTGACCATTGTGGGTTTTTCTTTCATTAACTGAGGGGTACCAACAATTTTGTCCACGTGTGTATGTGAGTGCCCGAGTGTGACGACGCTAAATGTTTTGATGGCATGAAGCTCGTAGCCTGTCAAAAAAAAAAAAAATCCATAAATTAGCCATGGCACTGTATAAGCCGCGTTGTTCAAAGCAGCAGGCTGTAAATTATGGTAATATATAAACTAATTTGTTATTACTGCACCCAAAAAAATAAAATGAAATCAGTCGGTACTCCTGATTTATGAAAATTGCTAAAAGTTTTAACATTTTACTTCTAGAGTCCAAATGAAGTTTAAATAATTTGAGAGAAAAAACAACATTGTTCTGTTTGTGTTCAGACTCCCTTCACGCTCACCCTCAGGATCTGGGACATCTACATCTTGGAGGGAGAACGGGTGCTGCCTGCCATGTCCTACACTGTCCTCAAACTGCACAAGAGTAAGACACTTCATGGTCCAGCAGCACCAGCTGGTGTGTCTAAATACTCCGAACAGTCATGTTTGTGTTGTCCTGCAGAGCACCTGATGAAGCTGTCCATGGAGGAGCTGGTGGAGTTTCTGCAGGTGACGTTAGCCAAAGATTTCTTCTATGAGGATGACTTTGTGGTGGAGCAGCTGCAGGCGTCCATGATGGAGCTCAGGAGAGCAAAATTGGAGCTACCCGCACCAGGTACAGCAACATTATGATGTAGACTGTAAAAAAAGGACATGTTCAGCTGTTAATTAACTCTTAAGGGATATTGTACGTTTCTATTGGGTCAAAGCTTTTTGATGTGTGACCACAAGTGTCTGACTCTGCTTCCTGCTGTCCTTACTGGTGGTGTTCCAGTTCTGCTGTCGTCTCATTAATCTGCCTTCTCTCCCCTCTCCTTTCAAACAATGTAAGCAAACAACAACAAAAGTGTGGCTGTGAGTGGCGGCCACATTCCCTCCTACAACAGTAACCGGTGGGCTATCCTGACTGGTCTTCTTCATGTCTGTCCATCTGTCCCTCAGTCCGTCCTGTCTGTCGCCTGTCTGTCCAACAGCAATTGGCTTTTTTCGCTTCACAAACTTTCCTCTCTTCCACATTAGATTTTTATCTTTACCTGGGTGCACTGCTGCGATGGTCCACTCATCTTTAGTTTGCTTTACTCACTTTATGGTGGAAAACTAATCTCGTAGCCATAGAGTTGTTTTAAGGAAAAATAAGTTTCACATTATGGAATATGATACTTATTTGATTTTGTGTTGTCCTTTTTAGATTTTGTTTCAAATTCACTTTATGGGCTTTTCATTTCACTGACTTGGATAATAATTTTCTAGTAGCACACAACACAAAAGCAGTTTTAGGGACAAACAGGTTCTTTATGAAAGTCTTGCTCATCAACCGTACAAAACAACCACTCAGACCTCGTAGTGAAACTTTGCCACAGCACAGCAATCACAGCTAATGCCAAGTTGATGCTCAAGATTTAAAACCTTACAGTGATACTTGGTACATTACTAACATCCACATCTGTAATATTAAAAATATCTCCCAAGTCTACTTTTCAACCAGTTCCACAAACAATGAGACTCCATCACATTCAGGACAGGAATAAAGAGACAAGTTTAAATACTCTGAAGCAGTCTTAATGTTTTACAAAAAGCAACTTGAGCTCATCGTTTCTTTTTTCCTACAACGTCATGTTAAAATGAGGTACGTCACAGCTGCATCAATAAGCTCGAGGTACAATATAAACGACAAAAGGTTTGATCACTTTCACAAAACTTTGATTGAAAACATATTTCCACACCCAGTTTCTGTCCAACACTATATTATTATAACCAATATCATGAGTAGGCCTGTCGCAATAAACAATTAAATCGCATGATAAATGAAAATTATCAACCTCGAAGACACGTTTCTTCACGTCTCTCTTTCTACTGAAGACACTGGATGACAAAAGGCTTAACTCCGGTGTTCTTCACTGACCCCTCCCTTTATCTTTCCTCTTTAAAATCTGTTTTAATGATCCAAAATCACATTTTTGGATCGTTAAAAGCAGCTAAGCTAAGCTATGAGCCAACAGGCCGACCTTGGTGAAAAAAAACGTTTTGTTGAAGCTCCAAAATTCGTCTAAAAGTTTCTCTGCAAAAAGAAGCTGAGAACTTGTTTAATGATTTTTATTAAAAGCTTTCTGTGAAAAATGCTATGCTAAAGAGCTGAAACTACACTGAGGGTCCGCCATTTTGAGAACTGAAAAACAGGAACGAGATGGACAGCCCATGTAACGTCAAGGGGCCTCCCTCCCATTTTCCTTACAAATGCTGCTCGCTCCCTCACTATCCATCCTTCGATTCAAACAGTCTTATACTGCCATCTGGTGGTCAAAAAATGTACTACACTCAAATGAACTAACATTTCTTAAATTTGACAATGACTAATTATTGTCAAATTTCAAACAATATTATCATTTATCGCATTAATTTGAGACAATTGCCCAGCAAAATTTGTTGTTGTGACAGGCCCAATCATGAGAAACATGATCTACAGTAGTCCTTCATTAATCACGGGGGTTCCGTTCCCCCCCCCCGCCGCGATTGGTTAAAAACCACGAAGTAGGAATAATAGTAAATTCGTTGTTTAGATTTATATAGGAATATATATATATATATATATATATATATATATAGCATTTTAAACCCTTCCCCTCTCTTGCAATATTCTAAGCAATGTTTCTAAGCTAAATGCTCTAAAAGAGTACAGCATGTCATGATCGCTGCACTCTGTCACCTGCTCTCAGCCACACCCACTTCTATGGCATGTTGCAGAGAGCGGAGATCATGACATGCTATACTCTTTTAGAGCATTTAGAGTTTAGGAGGAGGGAGCTTCTCCCTGCACCTATGGGCTGCACACAGGCACAGCAGGTGTTAAATCAGCCAATTGTGTGTCATATCCAATCTTTGAAAAACCACCAAAGTCGAACCACGAAGTAGTGCGGGACTACTGAATACTATAACCACACAGCACAAGAAACCTGTAATGGTACAACTTTTTTATCTTGAGGAAAAACTGGTAAAGTTAGAGGGCATTTTCATCCCAGAGTTATACAGTTGTCTTCCTGGATGGCAGCGCTTCTTGCCAGTGGATCATGTTTCTTTTTACAGTCCAAAACCACCAGTGTCACCTTCACTGTCTACATGTTCCTGTCAGCTGTATTACTCATTTGTTTCACTGTAAACACTTTATAGAATAAGTCACTGCTTCTATAATGTACATGTTGTAGAAGAATAAACCTGTTATTTAATTAAAGGATTTTTTTTACGATTTTAATGCTGCTTACAAATCAAAGTACATTTAAAGGAGTCGTTTCTCTAGTCTGGAAAAACTGTTAGCCATTTAGCTAAGTGGCACTTTCTAACGGAGTCTCCTTAAATGTGAAATATACTGTACACTCTTAATTTCTGATGTTTTTATCTGTATTCTGTTATTTTGTGTTGTGTTGAATGTAATTCTCCATTATTTTTACCGTTCTATGGTGTTGCTGTTGCATGAATTCATGGCCCTGTTGTGACTCATCTAGTGTGAATCAGCACCACAGTGTATTGTCGCTGTTCATTTTGGTTCCTGGTGGAGTTTTAATGAGTTTGTTGTTTTCGTGTTGCAGGTAAAGACGAAGAGTTTCCCAAGAAACTATTGGGGCAGCTCCCTCCTGATGTAGCAGCAGCAGTGCTGAACCATGTGGGCAATGGCCAAAGCCATACAGAACCAGCGGAGCCTCCTCGCAACTCAAGTCCTGTTCCAGACCGCCAACAGGACAGTCGGCCACAGAGCCGGGAACACCAAAGGGAAAGAGACGTCCATTCCAGGGGGTCAAATGACATCCAGAATGAGCAGCAAAAGCAGTCCACCACAACTACGCCAGAGAAAAGGGCAACTCCACCATTAGTTCCCACCCCAACACCACAGATTGCCTCATTAGATGGTAGAAAGCCTCATAGTCATGCCACTGCTAACCACAACTCCAATGCAGGCTCCAGCACACATAAGAACATCACTCCCCGCTGGTTCAAACCCTCTGAGACAAAGTTGGAAGCTGTCAAAGCTGCAGCATCTCGGCAGAACCAGCTCAGCTGTGGGACTTCTCCAGCCCCTTCCAGCCCAGATGACAACGTTCAGCTCAAACGTCAGCCAATATCCAAAGGATTTGACCACGGTGCTGACAGAGGCTCCAATGCCTCACAGTATGACAATGTACCAGGGCTGCTGGATCAGGAATTTGAGATTCTGGAGCTTGATCATCCTCCATCCAGAGTGAGGACCCCTCACAATGAGACATCCTTTAATCTATCAGGACAGCATCATAGCAGCCCAAACCATGGACAAAGTCAGGATGGGAGTATACTTTCCATCTCATCTGGGTCAAGAATGACCAGGAACTCTCCAGCCCCCCAGTTTTTCCACAACAGTCCAGCAGTGGTCCCAGGCACTTACCTTGGCAGCCAAAATCTGTATCCCCACCAGCAGTCTCCAAGAAGAACTACTACTGAGGTTCCCATCCTTCACCCAGGCTACAGTGTAAGTCTGGACCAAAGAGGGGACAACAGACTCAATGGCCCCTCTGGGTTTAGCTCACCCTCCAGCGTGGCGTACAGAGAACTAGCATATGTTACAACACAACGACAGTCCAGCAGAGCCTCCCCTAAGAAGGCCCTCCACAGTAACTCCTTCGCCACATACCGCCGACAGCCACCCCCAGGGTCTAACCACAACTTTCAAAACACAAGATCACCCCCACACCAATCTCTACAGCTAGAACCCCAGAGCAGCTCCACTCCCATCTACGTGCAACAGCTTACGTCAGCCTCACAGATCCACACTATTGTGAACTACAGAGTCGAAGGGCATCAGAGGGGTGAGGCAAATCTGGCAGATGGAAGACCTGTACGAGCTGTAGGCTGGGAGCCAGAAGATCCACTTCCCCCTCAGTCACCAGGCGGGATGCCTCGCTCACCCAGCTTTCAGCAAGCCCAGTTGTCTCCTCTTCAGGAGTTCGCTTTCCCCCCCACCCCCGATGGCCAGCCTCACTACAGGACACAGTTCCAAGAACAGCAGCAGCCCCCTCAGCTGTTTGGGGCGCCGCACTACAGGCACGCACAGGAGGCGTTCGCCCTGCAGGAGGCCATGCTGCTGTGATGAGATCAAACACAGATGTGTAGTCATGACACTGATGAAGACGAGCAGCCTGGCTCTGCTTCTGCTCTCATATTTACATGTGAAGTATTGACTTGTTGACTTTGCAGGACATGCCAGCCTCTGATGTTTTTACTGATTGCTTTGAACCCTTTACCACCTAAGCCTCAAAATTTCTGCCTAGTAGGCTTGTTAAAAAAAAGTGTCGTTGGCAACTCGTTCGTAATTAAAGGGTTAAAAAAGAAAAAAACTTAAGATATAATTTTATTTTTGGATGTAAATCAATACTATATATATCTTTTAGAGTCTGGAGCTGTACAGTGGAGTTGTGTTAATAATCTGAAGTTTTTGTTGGGGGGGTGTACCCTGAAAACTGATGTATTTTTTCATTTTAATTCTTACCTTACGAACAGGTATTTACATTACAGAACAATTAAATACATGCTTCTGAATGTGATTTTTAAACAAATGTCAGTGAGCAGAACTGAGTTTATGTATATTTTGATTTTCATTTCAGTCAAGCAGCCAATGGTGCAAATAGCAGGTTTTTTTAAACAAACACTGTAGTTTTTGTTATAATTCAGTTTGAGTCCAGATTAATGTGCAATGCATTCTTTCAAAAATATTTTGAGGCCAGTGTAATTAAGAAACAGGATGACATGAGGGCTACTGTACAATATTTATGGGATTATGTAACCATTGTTAACAGTTACAGCATTCCAAGATGGATGTAAACGTGTTGAATTACCTTGATATGGTTCTTTTTTAATACAGTTGCATTTTTCCAGACATACGTTATCTGGTACACACACCCCTGAAAAAAGAGAAACACTACATTTACAGAATGTGGAGTCACATTTCAGCAATCTGTCACATTCCTTTTTATTACTTATACTCTGGTTTTTAATTACTCATAAAAAAAGAAGTGAAATTCAGCTGCTTACATTCCATAACTTATATTTGCTCTGTTAACTAAACTGCAGTTCATTGTGACACTTTGCTTAATAAAAAGAGGTGGGTAAAAATGGTTGTTTTTAGTCACTCTGCACATGCATGCCATCTGACATTCACATACAAGACACTTACTTTAGCCAAACATTCTCTATAACACGCATTTAAGGCGCATACTAAACTATATTGATGACTAAATTATTTTAGCCTATTTGCTTTAAATTGTCACATTTCTAAATCTACTTTCCATCTGGCTTTTAAAGAGCACCCTTCTCAATAACAGGAACAAAATCATTGAAACGTGTTGGGAGTGAGAAGCTACAGAAAAGACGGACAGTCTCCTGGACAAAACACTCCATCCTCTTATATCCGAGGGCCTTTAGTAAAAATCTACCAAGACACAGTTCAGATTACCACAAAAGAGAGAGACGTCTTTCCCAGCCAGAGTCACCGCAGAGTCCTGCCTCGCCTCGTTTGACAAAATCAGTTTAGTTTGTAAAGAGCAAAAACTCAACTGTAATGTGCACGTGTAAACATTTAGTACTAAAACCCTATGTCACTTGCATGCAGGCTGCAGAATTGGACGTTCCACGTCTTATCTGAAGGTAGGAAGTAATTAGTGAGTGCAGCTTGCTTGTATATCTGGGTTAGTACAAGCAACAAACAATTCAGAAAAATAACTTTCATGACTGAAGAGCAGGTGACATGAGTACGTTTGTCAGAAAACATGGCCTTATTTACAGTTACATTTTCTTTTTGTATTGTTCCCGTAAGGAACATGAACGGTCAAAGTTAAAAGGACAAATAAAAACTCTTATTCCAATGTACACAATAATGTACTTTTGCCGTCAATCTAATTTCATGATCGTGTCTAGTTACAGTAAATGAAGTGAAGTTGTTGAGCTGCAAGCATTCAGGAGGGACATTTTGCTACATGTACTGCTGCAAGATGAAGAATAATTGGCCAGTGGCCCTCCCCCCGATAAATGCTTTGAAAAACTGGCCATGACCCACATCAAAACAAACATAATGAGGACCCTCATCAGTACACATACAGCGAGAACCGATCCAACAGATGATGCCATCTCCTCTGTGGTCCACACTGCTCTCACCCACCTGGAGCAGAAGGACTCTATGCTCTTTGTGGACTTCTCATCTGCCTTCAACACCATGATCCCCCAAACACTGATGGACAAATTATCCACACTAGGACTAAGCCCCTCCATTTGCAACAGGGTCCTAGACTTCTTAACAGACCACAGTCAGTGAGGATCCACAACCTCTCCTCCTCCACCATAACCCTCAGCACTGGCTCTCCTCAGGGATGTGTGTTGAGCCCTCCTGTTTACTCTGCTCACATATGATTGTGCAGCTACCCATCCAGGCTGTCACATTGTAAAGTTTGCAGATGACAGTGGTGGTGGGATGCACCACAAACAATGATGAGTCCAGCTACAGGCACGAGGTGGAACACCTGGAGAGCTGGTGCAGAAAGAACAACCTTCACATCAATGTGAAGAAGACAAAAGAGATGATCGTGGGTTACTTGGGTGTACACCTGAATGACAACCTCAGCTGGGGCAGCAACACTTCCAGCCTGATTAAGAAAGCTCATCAGAGACTCTTCTTCCTCAGATGGCTGAGATGAGCTGGTCTGGGAAGCTCAGTCCTCACCTCCTTCTACAGGTGTGCAGTGGAGAGCATCCTGTGCTCCAGCATCAACGTGTGGCATGGAGGCTGCACAGCTGCAGAAAGAAAAGCTTTGCAGAGAGTGGTGAAGGCTGCACAGAAGTCTGTTGGAGTCAGCCTCCCCACCATCACAGACATCTACAGGTCCTTCTCAAAAAATTAGCATATTGTGATAAAGGTCATTATTTTCCATAATGTAATGATAAAAATGAAACTTTCATATATTTCAGATTCATTGCACACCAACTGAAATATTGCAGGTCTTTAATTGTTTTAATACTGATGATTATGGCATACAGCTCATGAAAACCCAAAATGCCTGTCCCAAAAAATTAGCATATTTCATCCCACCAATGAAAGACATGTGTTTTTAATACAAAAAACGCCAACCTTCAAATAATCATGTTCAGTTATGCACTCAATACTTGGTCAGGAATCCTTTTGCATGAATGACTGCTTCAATGCGGTGTGGCATGGAGGCAATCAGCCTGTGGCACTGCTGAGGTGTTATGGAGGCCCAGGATGCTTCGATAGCGGCCTTAAGCTCATCCAGAGTGTTGGGTCTTGCGTCTCTCAACTTTCTCTTCACAATATCCCACAGGTTCTCTATGGGGTTCAGGTCAGGAGAGTTGGCAGGCCAATTGAGCACAGTAATACCATGGTCAGTAAACCATTTACCAGTGGTTTTGGCACTGTGAGCAGGTGCCAGGTCGTGCTGAAAAATGAAATCTTCATCTCCATAAAGCTTTTCAGCAGATGGAAGCATGAAGTGCTCCAAAATCTCCTGATAGCTGCATTGACCCTGCGCTTGATAAAACACAGTGGACCAACACCAGCAGATGACATGGCACCCCAGACCATCACTGACTGTGGGTGCTTCACACTGGACTTCTGGCATTTTGGCATTTCCTTCTCCCCAGTCTTCCTCCAGACTATGGCGCCTTGTTTTCCGAATGACATGCAAAATTTGCTTTCATCCGAAAAAAGTACTTTGGAGCAACAGTCCAGTGCTGCTTCTCTGTAGCCCAGGTCAGGCGCTTCTGCCGCTGTTTCTGGTTCAAATGTGGCTTGACCTGGGGAATGTGGCACCTGTAGCACATTTCCTGCACACGCCTGTGCACGGTGGCTCTGGATGTTTCTACTCCAGACTCAGTCCACTGCTTCCGCAGGTCTCCCAAGGTCTGGAATCGGCCCTTCTCCACAATCCTCCTCAGGGTCCGGTCACCTCTTCTCGTTGTGCAGCGTTTTCTGCCACACTTTTCCCTTCCCACAGACTTCCCACTGAGGTGCCTTGATACAGCACTCTGGGAACAGCCTATTCGTTCAGCAATTTCTTTCTGTGTCTTACCCTCTTGCTTGAGGGTGTCAATGATGGCCTTCTGGACAGCAGTCAGGTCGGCAGTCTTACCCATGATTGCGGTTTTGAGTAATGAACAAGGCTGGGAGTTTTTAAAAGCCTCAGGAATCTTTTGCAGGTGTTTAGAGTTACGTCGTTGATTCAGATGGTTAGGTTAATAGCTTGTTTAGAGAACCTTTTCATGATATGCTAATTTTTTGGGACAGGCATTTTGGGTTTTCATGAGCTGTATGCCATAATCATCAGTATTAAAACAATTAAAGACCTGAAATATTTCAGTTGGTGTGCAATGAATCTGAAATATATGAAAGTTTCATTTTTATCATTACATTATGGAAAATAATGACTTTTATCACAATATGCTAATTTTTTGAGAAGGACCTGTACACCCCCAGATGCAGGAAGAGAGCCACCTGCATCATGAAGGACCCCACTCACCCAGTACACACATTGTTTGCCCCGCTTCCCTCAGGAAGGAGGTTGAGGAGCATTAAGTGTAGAACCACTAGACTGAGGAACAGCTTCTACCCTGAGGCTGTTAGACTCATGAATCTCTAATCAGAATAATCACTGTGAAAAATCACATCATGTTGCTGATCTGTTTCATGTTGACGTGTTCATTCTTGCTCATGTGCTCACACAGACTCATGTCCATGCTGCTGTTTGGCATAATGTTTTTATGCTATTAGTGTATATTTAGTTGATGTTTTTCTTAGTTCATATCTTAGATCTTATTACTGTTTTTCTTTTACATTTTATTGTTGGACGTAACTGGGACCCTGTGTACATAATTTCGTTCCACCACATGGGGTGCGAATGACAAAGAACCTTGAATCCTTGAATAAAGATAAATTCATCATGAAATAATTGTTTTATAAGATTCTTGAAAATCTCGCTCTACAAATTTGATTCATTGCTGCTGCTGATTATGACTTCATAACTATTTTCATGCCTGTGATGATGGAAAGACATATTCATCAGTGATCAGAGTTTAAACAGTCTGCCTTCACAAATATTTTTGCCCAACAGAACATCTATGTGTTGATGTTGGGAAATGACTCCAGCCTCCAACTCTGAGCCATTAGCCCCCTACTCACAAAGTTGTTAAGAACAGAAGAGATATCTTGGTGCTTGTATTCAACTTAGCTAATTCTACTTCGGCCTCTGTCTTCAGCTTGCACTGCAGCCTTATTGCCTTTTTCACAGGTAAGAC